TACTACAGGGCGTGGATCCTACACCTGTTTGCCTACGTTCTCTTCCCTGACGCTATGGGTGACACTACATCGTGGATGTGGGTCCACTGCCTCAGTGACTGAGATCAGGCGGATTAATACAGCTGGGGCTCTGTAGTCTTGGGTTTTCTTTACCGGCAACTTTGCGAGGGGTGTCATCGAACTTCGTCCACAGCGTTACTTGGTGGATGCATGTACCTGCTTCAGTTGTGGATGTGGGCTCGTCTACCAGTTGGTCGTCCCGAGGTTCTGGCTACTTGTGAGTGGTTCACAGGTCAGCCCCCACGTCGGCAGCCGATGTGGGCATACCTTTGGGACCAGGTTAGGGTTCCACACGCGAGGTTAGAGCGGGCGTACATTGAGTTCACAAACGAGCTAGACACGCTCATGACATCTAGGGTAAGTAAATGTTATTTCCCATGCTGGTTTGAAATGGTTTAGTATACCATCTAACATCTTGTTTGGATATGTTGCAGGTGTCGTGGGAGCCGTACGATGGAGAGGGGGCACTTCCTTTTCATTTCAGCAACATGTGTGGGTTCGACGATGACTTCTATAGGATGAGGTGCCCTCTATTCTATTTCTATGATGTCGAGTTCCACCTACCAGATAGAGTTGCACGCCAATTTAGTGTGAGACAGCTACTGGCGTTGACTTACACAAGTAAGTGTTTTGCTATTTCAAATGTCTCGTGATGGTCTATTTCCATTAATATGGTGACATATACATGGATTCAAGTAACGATGACATACGTGTAGGTTGGATTGTTAGAAGAACAGAAAGATTTTTGACTGGGACAAGCACCACCAGTACTACATTGAGCAATGGGAGGAGATGCACGACAACACGGACGAGAACAATGAGTCGCACACGATCTGTGAGTTCAGGCGGTACCAAGCTTAGTACCAACGTGTGACACGTTGCAGGCTGAGGGTATAGTGGATAGAAGATGACTACACCGATATCGAGTCCTCCGACGATGATGACATGGCGTACGACCAATCTACTCGTGTAGGAAGGCGGGTGGAGGCAGGACCAATCTTGGACAGAGTGGTAAGTCAATTGCCTTATTTTTCTACGTTAAGTTGCATACTAATACATTATGCGTTAGAGGTATCTATTTTAGTTAGTGCCACCTTCATGCCGTAGCATCCTTATAATACATTAGATTGTTGTAGAAAAGAACAAAAAACATGTTGCTATCTATTCAGAAGTATTTTCACTGAAAACTTTGTTGCAGGGCAATACCCTCAAATGCTCCATTGAAGACATTGAGCGCTTTCATCTGAGAGTCAGGGACGACGACACGCGTAGCTTCCTAGACATAAGATTCAAAATATTCTTTCAAACATATTATTAATATGTTAGATTTTTTCAGTTAACATAATTTTGTACAACAGAGGCTGTCACGTCGGCTACGTCGTGCGACTGCTCGTTGTGGTTGCAGGACAGACTCGCCGCAAGACATGTACATTACTCCCATAGGCAGAGGAGGCTTAGGTTCCTCTAGCCAAGCAGCTACAGGGGACGAGGATAAGGAGGACGACGACGTGGACCAGAGGCACAAGGAGCTTGGCCCCTCTCATCTCCAGGACGCTCCCTCGACTCAATCTACACAGCCTCTAAGCATTAGGCGACATCGTCCACCTGACCCTTACACTCCAGGTACTAGCGCTCTTGGTCACATGGGTAAGGGTAAGACTAGGAGACAATGAGGTTTTGTGGTAGATGTTAGTATGTACTATTATAGATTTTGTAGTTACTTTCCTATAACTATTCAGGACTGTGTGGATATTGTGGACTATTTAGACTATGCAGAACATATTATGTTGATTGTGATGTTCGTTGTGGTTGCATTGTGCTCTTTGGACGATTAAATGTTTGGATTATATAATGATGTCTCTGTTTATAACTATGGATGCTCCTGAAATAAGGGAAACTCTTGCGAATTTTTTCCGTTAATCATTAATTATAGTACACTGTAAAAAAGGTACAAATATAGTATATAGATTAAATGTAAATTCGTTAGAACGTGTATAGTCCAATCGTAACGTACAGACGCTTTGTAGATGAATCTAGGCTTCTAGTTAAGTGAACGAATCTAGCATTTTCAGACAATGCAAATAGACTTCCGACGTGCGTAGACATCCGGCCAGCAAAAACCCAGGTGTCGGGACTCCCGACTTGGGTCAGGACTTTCGACTGTCGGGAGTTCCGACTCACATCGGGACTTTCGACGACCACAATCACTACGCAGGTTAAGTGACTGGGCATCAGGAGTTACGGCATGAGTCATGATTTCCGACGGTCGAGAGTTCTGGCTTACGTCGGGATTTCCGACATCAATAGTCACTAAAAAATATTCTACGTGCTCGTGGAGTGCTAGAGTATCTCTCTTTTGATTTTATTTTTATGCTTGAGCACTCTATCTTTCTCAGACCAACTAAGTTTGCATCCCTCTTTATAGTGCGGCGGATCCTAAACTTAAAAACAAAAATAAAACCTTTGGAGAGCGCATACTGAGTAATAGCTGCGACATATCTCATTAAGATCACATTAGTCTCTAATTTGTATGTCATCTATACACCAAAATTCACATAGGAGATAAATGCACTTTCAAATTCTTAGTCTAAAACATACTGAGTAAGTAACTTATTATCCGAGTATCAGTCCTCTACAACAACCTTGTTGCTGTGGCTAGGCTCACCTACATTGCTCTGACCTGCATGTCGTCTGTAGTAAGCGGCCTCCACTTCATCTGCGTTATGGTCCTCGCTGCATTCAATCCCTTCATATATAAAATGCAATTAGTTAGCAACGCAATTATATTACATTTAAATTCAGGCAACGAAAAAAAAGCTTTTAAGCACTGACTGACGCATAATGCAACAACATGCTCGTTTAAGACATGCATCTATACCCTTGTCTCCTCCCTTGCCTCTTTCGTTGCCCTCTCCTCCTCTAACGTCCTCCGTCTCTCCAATCCCTATTTGTCAAGCCCAACATCGATCGGGTTATGAATACCGTGATGTCTAGCAAACTCACGTATCTTGTTTTTGTGATGTTTAATGAATAGGTTGACGTAGTCAGGTCCATATCCTCTCTTCCGTGAAATTACTTGCCTCCGCTTCAGTTCATCCAAGAATTTAGCTTGACCATCGTAACATTCTCACCTGTATTTTCTAGTGCTCTGTTCAAACGAAAAATTATATCATATGTCTTATCAAAATAAACAAAATACGATTTCATGTTTATCACAAAAATAACCAACCTCGTTATAGTCAACCATATGGCCGCAATAATTGCCTATTTCAAACTCCGAAGGGACTAAACCGTAGTTGAATTTAACACCACATTCGCACTTGACTAGAGGTGCTTTGTAAATTAACCTTTCTTTTTTCTTTTTTTGTCTTTGATGGCTCTATCCATCGATTCTTAGGATCACTCCTTGAAACGACACTTCGCAAATCCATACACCTAAAAGAGTAGACATTAGTACACGCACACATAGGGCTAAACATTTAAACAGATACATTTTCACTTACTTCGTGTTTGTTCGAACACACAAACTCCAACGTATTCTCAGGGTTTATCATAGCTCGATCTTCACATTCGCATAGAGGAGCTTACTCGAGTCGTTTAACTGCGGCTAGGTGCTTCTCCTTAGCCATTATTGGCGAGGGTTAGGAGGGTGGAACCCACCGCTTGAAGTGCTCACGTGGATGTCTCCATCTAAACAAATAATCGAAAAGGAGGTACCTAGGGTCAAACTTGTCTGCACCGTCGGTTCACTGAAAGAAAAAACACCTCTCATTGCTCTACACAACAAAATTCCTACAAAATATTAGTAGTATACTTACACAAATAAAGAAAAAAATATAGTAGAAACAATTACTTACATTAAAACAACTGCATGCGTAGAAGTAATGCGCCGCTGTATCTGGATGTCTCGATTGAAACACGTGGGCCTGGAAACCACAGTCACGGTTAGGGATAGGGAGGTCAGGAGGGACGGGAGCATCTTTGCTAGACGCGTTGGGGTATAATTCTCGAGGACAACTCCGTTTTCGCCAAAACCCCTCACGATATATTTTTTGCATCTAACAAAAAGGATATAATTTAACAAACAAAAATCAAAACATCATAAATTAATGTCAATGAGAACCATAATATAATACAACCAATTTTGTTCTAAAACCGAAAGTAATTAACATTAAACCCTAAACCTAGGGTTTCCCATTTGATGCACAACAATGAACCCATAACATAACTACACGCGCTTACTGAGTTACCTAGGGTTTGCTAGTTTTTTTCACGCTCTTGGCATCATCCTACGGTTTGTATCATACAAATATTGAGGGATAGAATGAAACCATAAGTAATGATGATTCTTAGGTTGAAAAATCCGACTAATATATATCGAATCGATGCGAAAAAACTAAGAGGAGAGCGAGGATACCTTGCTCTCGAAGATTTACGGATCAAATCAAAGTTTCTAAGGCCCAATATGCCGATTCGTGAGGTAGGGTGAAGTGAAGAGAGAAAAAACCCGAGAGAGAGGAGAAAGAAGAGGAAAAAGGCTCGGGCAGGAAGGTTGGGGCCAGGGTTAAAACACCACCTCGGCGCCATAGATCATGGCGCCGAGCTCGACGCCAAGATCGGCGCCAGGATCTATGACGACGCCGAAATTCGCCAAGTCATCATCACATCGTCAGATCGAGCCCAAGACCTCAACGCCAAAGAACGATGATGCCGAAGCTTTCGGCTCGGGCGCCAAAGAACTATGTCGCCAATTAAGGGTCTAGATTTTAAAATGTTAACTCCAAGTGCATATTTATGAAATTTTTTTCAAGAAAGGGGATAAAAAATAAAAAATTCGGTCCTTCGACTAAAGTTACCAAACGCATCGTAAAACCAGCTCATCGACTCGAGCTCGAGCTCCAACTCGGCGGAGATCTCCGGCGAGTCGCGGGACGCCGGCGATGGCACCGGGGGCCGACGAAGCACTGTACGAGATCCACCGGCACGCGTCGGGATCCCACGTGATCCCTCATGTGAGTGCCCGGCCCCTCCCTCTCCCCCTCCTCATCCTCCCATGCTTCCTCCCGCCTCGTAATCCAATCACGGGCGAGTTGTGCGCGGGGGAGATGCGAGGCGGGTCATCGTAGATTCGCCCTCTTCAGCACTAATTTCTTGATGTCCTTTTTCCGAATTCTGTTTTCGGGTGTGGGTGTCGCCAGAGTTCATAGCAATAGCTCATAAGGATTTTTCGTTTTAGCCTGTCTACCATTCTATGTGTGTGTGTGTGTGGTGTGTGTGTGTGTGTGTTTTCGTGCAACTTTGCTGCGCGGGTGTTCAATTTACTAAGGTTTCAGTAGTATTTTGGAAGCTAAATAGCTGTGAAATCTTGATGGTTATCTTCATTGTTATGTGATTCTTGCAAACACAGCAAGAAGAATACCAAGGTGCTGCGACAAGTAGTGGTAGCTCAGATGCTGGAGGAGGCGGCGTCCTCTCCTATCTCTCCTTGCAAGGTACAATATCATCGCTTCGAATTCTTCACAAATCCATCCATACAGGATGCAGCGCTGATCAGTTGCTTCTTTATGCTACTACCACCCCTGAAGGTGTGAGCAAACTTAAGGAAAGGTGGGCTAGGTACAGTGTGCTGGGGAAGAGTAGGCAGAGGAAGAGGGGCGATGGCGTGGCACTGTTTGTCTCACCAAACGCGGAATATGTGTCTGTAACTGTTGGGAATCGCATCATCATCTTGAGGAAAGGCGATGGCTATGCATCACCTTGCGGTGTTTACACAAGTGAGTGAGTGTCCTGCTTGTTCCTGCATCGCTTTGGTTCTTATAGTGTTATTCACTGGTGTTGACTATTATGTGTATTATTAAGCCTGAAAGAAATTGCCTCTCAATTCTCATGCGTAGAGAGTATTAAGTTATATTTATTGGAATGAGTGAACCACATATTATTTGAACTTTGAAGTCCTTTCAGAAATGTGGCATCTGAGATCATCATAATTTGCATTTAAGTAAACAAAAAAATGTTGTTTGTGGAAGATATCTTTATTTGGTCATGACAATAGCATTTTATGTTGTGTAATTTTAATATGCACTGCTGACACAGAAGTAAGGTTGTTGTGACTCTAGTTTCCTAGCTTGCTGCTCCCTTTGTCCGGGAAAGAACACAATTCTAGCATACTACCGAGTCAAACCATTTTGAGTTTGACCAAGTTTATTATTATAAAAAATATCAATATTTATAATACCAAATAAGTGTCATTTGATTTGTCATGAAATATATTATTAGTAATTTAGTATACATATTTTGTGTTGTAAAGATTGATTCTTTCTCTATAATCTTGGTCAAACTTTAGAAAGTTTGACTAAAGATAGAGCTAGAATTGCATGTTTCCCCGGACGTAGGTAGTACTTCACATATAAATTCTCTATGTTAAGGCTCCCAATTTATTTATCCAAATGTGGAGGATTTGGGTGCAGGCTGCCATTTCCATGCTTCAAAGAAAAGTTGAACTGATTATTGAAAGGATTTCAGTCCATGCATCATTTGTTACCATTTACATCAAGCATACATTTTTCACTGCTCATTATGTTTTCGTTCCTCAGGGACACCAATTAAAATTTTTGGGAGATTAGGTGCCAGTTTTTTGTTTATGTTGGCAGAAATATTGCACTATGCATTTTGCTACAATCCCTAGACTGTAGCAATCTGCATATTTCCATTTTCTTTTTAGTTGCTTAAAAATGGTTTTATAATGTGGAACATAGTTTCATGTGCATTTTCTGCAGTAGATGTCCGGGGGCATCATTTTTTTCTGATTATACACTGTATTCTGATTATTTATGGTCAGGTAATGACAGAATAACATTTTTCACAAATGGGGCTTGGCTGGAGGCTCAAGGCATTTTTGGTGTGGTGGATGACCTAAGCACACTTTACTTGATCAAAGAAAATGGGGAGTTATTAGCAAGGAGGACATGCGATCAGTTGAAGCTATCTTCTTCCATTATTGATCTGGTTTTGCAGGATGCTTCAAACTTGCTTAGGTGATTCTCAGTTGTTTTCAGTTTGGAGTTTCCCCTTAAATCATGTATGACTTCATTTCGTGGGATAATTTGGCAGTAACTAATAAATTGCATTACTATTTGTAGGCCAGGTTTCTACATTTTTACAAGTGACTGCTTGGTTCATAGATTTGATTACACTGAAGAACCTGAGTCCAGTTTATGCGAAGTTCCCATATCAACTAAAGATGTGATGTCAGCTAAGACTGTCCAGTTACCTCGAAGTTTATCGTGCATCGATTACCATCAATGTCACTCACTATTTGTCCTAGTTGGAGATTCCAATGTTTCATTTAGCTCCAGTAGTTATTCTGGTATGCTCATTTACTAGCCTGTTCTCAACTGCTACACTTGTCAATCCTGCACTATATAGATTGTTCATGAAATTCAAATGATGTTGTTTCTAATCTTCTTTATTATCATATTTTAGGAACCTATTTTATGTATCTATTACACGTCAACAAAAATATGGAACTTAGTCTTTCATTTCAAAGCCAGCAGTTGGAAGGGGTATTTTCTCCCCTAAAGGATCAAAGAACCTTTGTTTCATTCCCAAAAATCAGGATCTCACCTCAGGGAAAGTATATTGCTACGTTGGATTTGACTGGTTTTGTAAACTTCTTTTCACTTGATGGTGACATGTGCACTGTTTCACTTCATACTCTTGGAAATGGTAGAAGCTTCTAATTGATGTTAAGGACATCAGGTGGTGGACAGATAATGTTCTCATGTTGGTAAGAAAAGATGGTAGCATTAGCATGTACAGCATCACTGAAGACAGGATGGTTTCCAAAGATGACCCAGTTTTATCTACACCAGTATTGAGAAGGCAAAGGCTACTGAAGGACATGCTTTTGTTTTGCAATCTAAGAGATATGGAACAAACACTCCAGTTAATAAGCAGATGGATAGTGACTCGGAACCTAGCCTGCTTAGTGGTTCTGGGGAGCACCAACAAACAGAAATGGCTGAAATGTCCTGAGTCTGATATCGTTCTCCAAAGTTACAGTAGCAGAAATGTACTCTGTCCTGATAAGAGAGAAACGATACAAGGAGGCTTTTAGATTTTGCTTCAAGATATAATCTAGATAAGGATGAAGTTCTTAAAGCATGCTGGTTGCACTCTGACGGCGATACTCATGAGATAGACTTGTACTTAGCAAAAATTAAAGACCAAGTATTTGTATTATCAGAATGTGTAAACAAAGTTGGGCCTACAGAAGCAGCTTTAAGGGCTCTACTTTCTTTTGGACTTTGTATAACTGACCGTTACAAATTTTCTGAGTTGGATAACAGCAGTAAAGGTCCAACATGGGACAGTCACATCATTAGGCTTCGTTTATTGCGGCACAGAGACATGTTAGAGACATTCTTGGGAATTAATATGGGAAGGTATGTCCTTCCTATTCTTTCTCTAGATAAGAACGCACAACCAGGAAATTGTTAATTTCTTGGAAGCATTTACAACTATATTACAGTTGTTGAGTCACATTAATCCTACACAAATCTAATTAACATAATTCGTTACGTGCATAGAGCATATCTAAGTCACAGTTCATTACTCAAGGTACTATAGAGGTTTCTGCACTGATATACTCCCCTTAGTAATTTGGTGTAGCGTTCCACTTATAACCGAAATGAGCTTAACCCAATGGCAACCTGGCTCTAGTTTTTTACATGAAGGAAAAAGAAAAATGGATGCAAACACTTATCTTCTTAGTCAAAGGAAAGTTTCTTGACTTGTTTCCATTTTATCGTTAACTTAACATTTCCAAGGTTACATGTTGGCTTGTTTTTCATTTGTCTAACCTATTTGTTCATTCCAGTTCTTAAAACCACTTTCCTCTTTTTCTGCACTGTATGATGATGTTAGCTTTCTTGGAAAAATATTTTGCAAAGTTGATTGCATGCACATGCGGTGCATGTGCAACTTGCCGCTTTATATCGGACTTTGCTTGCTTGCTGCTTACTTTCTTTATGCTAAATGCAATGGTCTTGTTATGCAGGTACGCAGCAGGAGAATATAGCAAATTCCGTTCAATGCCATTGGTGGAAACAGCCATAGCATTAGCCGAAAGTGGCAAAATTGGGGCTTTCAATCTTATATTCAAGCGTCATCCATATACTATCTCTTCAGATATTTTACGTGTTTTGTCTGCTATCCCAGAAACTCTTGCTGTTCAGACTTATAGTCAGTTGCTACCAGGGAAATCCCCTCCCAGTGTTGTCATATTGAGAGATGGTGATTGGGTTGAATGTGAACAGATGGCTTCATATATAAACAATTGCCCTGCCAAGTTGGACAAGATTGGAGAGATCAAAACGGAAATACTTGTAAAGCACTCAAAAGGCTTTTCATGGCCTTCAGTTGCTGAACTTGTGTGTGGTACAGGAACAGAGCAAGGGACATTGACTGCTTAAGTGGACAGCTGGAAAACTGTCTGGCCATGATAGAGCTTGCATGTCAGAAAGGCATCATAGAGTTGCAGCCATTCTTTGATGATATTAAATGCCTCTACCAGGTTGTATATTCTAACGAGTTGAATGAGTTTACAATGAATCTTTTGACATGGGAAGATCTGCCTGATTATGAAAAGTTCAAAATCATCCTCAGAGGAGTCAAAGAAGATACAGTTGTTCAACGGCTAGAAGAAAATGCTATCCCTTTATGAAGAAGGATTATACTCAACCTCCTCAAATAACGAACGCAAACAAGAATCCTACCTGGTTAGATGGCTGAAAGAGGTAGCTGCTGAAAATGAGCTTTTGATTTGCTTAGCTGTCATTGAAAATGGTTGTGGGGAGTCACCAATATATGGGCTCTTCAAGGATCTTGCTGAGATGATAGAAACAGCTGTTCACTGCATTTATATGTGCAGTGCAACTAACCAGTGGAATACCATGTCATCAATATTATCAAAGTTACTCTATAAAACAAAGAGAGAGAAATCTTTAGTGGCTAGTGAAGAAGACTGCAATCTGAAAGATGCTAAGCATGCTCTTGGTTCTCCTGTGGTTTCTTATGAGGAGATGCAATGTGTCTGTGCTGATATCTTATCTGGTCTGGGCAATGCTTCAGAAGATTTTTATCACTATGATTCAGTACCTTACGAACCTAATAATGTCAAATATCTTGATATATTGGAGAAGAGGCTAAAAGTTGCTGAAGGCCATGTAGAAGTAGGACGGCTCTTTACTTATTATCAGGTATTGATGCCTCTTCAATAAAATTACTGCTTCTATGTTTTTGTTTTGGTTTCTTTGGTGTTTTTGACATGTTGAATTGCAGTAAATCTACTTGGACTTCTTTAGCAGTGCTGCTCTGTATAGGGATACCTCATACCTGTGAGCATATGTGATGTGAGGAGGAAAAAGGAAAAAAAAATTATCACATGCTTTTCCATTTGTGCTGCAAAACATTGTCTATCTGCAAGATCAAAACCGACCTAGGTCTTCCACCTCTTAATTAACAGAACCACTGCTTGACAGAATAATTGTCACTCTCAGAACCCCTTTGTTGTGTTTTAATTCTATGCCACTGAACCTTTCATGCTGCCAAACAGAATTTAAAGATCTTTCATTTTATCAGTGAATAGTTCTATTTATTTAATCAGTTTATAAGAAGCTTGAAGTATTAGCAACCTTGATTTTTTTATCGGAAAGGAACCTGACCTTCAGGAATGATTTCAAGCTGTTCACAAGATTGAAGGAGAGTGCTTTGTAGCCATAGTTCTTTTCTTTCCTTTGGTGGGCTTGGCAGCACTGGTAAGTGGAGATAAGAGTGCACTGTGGGAGATGTGGGTGGATCGATTGGAATCGGTCAACATGTGAGGCAGATGCTGTTTGTGATTAAGTTGTAGAATTGTTCATGTATTTTCATTCCTTTGCATATTCATTTGCACTGATATACTCCTCTTAGTAATTTGGCGTAGTGTTCCACTTATAACCGAAATGAGCTTGCTAGCAGTCATACCTTTCATTTTTCGTGGATTGTTTACTTGTTTGCCAATGTTTTGCACTTTCAGTGCAACTCATAGCTGAATGTGGTTACAGGTCCCAAAACCAATGCATTTCTTCCTTAGTGCTCACTTAGACGAGAAGAATGTAAAGCAAATTATACGGCTGCTTCTATCGAAATTTGGCAGACGCCAACCTGGTCGATCAGACAATGAGTGGGCTAACATGTGGCGTGATTTGAACTCTTCCAAGAAAAGGCATTTCCTTTTCTTGATTCAGAATATATGCTGGCAGAATTTATCAGAGGGCTTTTGAAAGCTGGTAAATTTTCGCTAGCCAGGAATTATCTTGGAGGAACCAGTGCTGTTTCTTTATCCACAGAGAAGGCTGAAAATCTTGTGATACAAGCTGCAAGGGAGTATTTCTTCTCGGCTTCAACTTTGTCTGGGAATGAAGTGAGTTAATGATACCAAATTTTTTGCCATCCAATTATTGATCTGCCATTTCATTTCTGATTAATGCTAACTTGGATTATACAATCCTTTGCAGATTTGGAAGGCCAGGGAATGCCTAAATCTGTTACCTAATAGCAAAAATGTTCAAGCAGAAACTGATATAATTGATGCCCTTACTGTTAGACTTCCTTATCTAGGGGTGACTATCCTTCCTGTTCAGTTCAGGCAGGTAAAGGATCCTATGGAGATCATCTGCATGGTGATAACAAGTCAAACAGGTGCATACCTTCATTTTGAAGAGATTATTGATGTCGCTAAACTTCTGGGATTAAGAAGTGAAGAGGAAGTAGCGGATGTGGAGGAGGCTATTGCTAGAGAAGCTGTGGTAAATGGTGATGTTCAACTTGCCCTTGATATCTGTTTAAATTTAACAAAAAAGAGTCATGGTGCAGTGTGGGATTTATGTGCTGCAATTGCTAGAGGCCCTCCACTTGACAATTTGGATACTGGTACCGTGAAAAGCTATTGGGTTTCGCTCTCAGCCATTGTGATGAAGATTCTGTTGAGGGATTTGTTGAATGCTTGAAGGAGCTTCATGCTCATGGTAAATTTGAGAAATTAATTATTACAACGGCAACAAATCCTCCCAATTTCTTGATTGATGGATCTTCAATCACACCACTTCCTGTACAAAGTGTGCAAGACATACTTGACCTGAGAGATGACAGGCCATGATAGACATAGAGATCTTGTGGAAATTGTTAAAGACATGCTGTCAAAAGTTTGCTTGGACTTTTCAATTGGAGACGCATTATAATTGGGAGTCTATGTTGGAAGAAAACCGGAAATTGTTGTACTTTTGGAGCACTGGAATTACCATGGCTTTTGAAATTATTCAATAATGAAGCGTGTGATGGTGAAATAACGGATCATCCCACTAGAGATGTCGATTTTCAACAAAAGTAGAAGCAGCAATCAGCATCATATATTGGTTAGCTGTAAATGGTTTGGCCCCAACGATAATATAATCATGATTCTTGCAAAGTCTGTAATGGAGCCTCCCGTTGATGAAGAGTTTGATGTACTTGGCTGCCTCGGTCCTTTTGAATCTCATGGACCCTTTCAATGGAGTGAAAATAATAGAGGAGGAGCTAAAAGACTTGAGAATGTTATCAAGAAATTAGCAGCATAATGAGTATAGGAATGTTATATAGTTCCTCTCAATAATTCTAAGAAAGAGTGCTCCACTCCTGAGCAGAGGAGAAATCTGTTGCTTCAACAAATTTCATGAGAAGTTCACCTCAGCGATACGGTAGGTGTACTAAAATCAACAAGTCATCAATATGGTCACTATTTTACCTTTGAATATTCTGCTGAGCTCAATACTTCTGCTCAGCTTTATATGAATTGTTTTGTGCTACCATATTCATTTTGTTTCTACCAACTTTGACAGATGATTTAGACCAGATTGATATGGCAAATACAACCTTCTGGAGAGAATGGAAATCAAAGTTAGAAGAGGAGAAACAACTGGCTGATCAAGCGGATGCTCAAGCAAATATTACCTGATATTGACACATCTCGATTTTTGTCTGGTGATGTGGAATTATGTCAAAAGAGTAGTTTACTCCTTTGTTGGTTCTGTAAAGCTGGAGAGAAAAACACATACTCAAGGAAGCAGTAAGGATAGCTGAGACATATGGCTTGCAAACGAACTGAGGTCTCTCTCACGCATCTGAGCTTATATTTTGTTTTCTTTAGATGTAAATTTCTCATCTGCAGTTTTGTCTCTTGATATTTTACAATCTCGTATTTTTTGCTTGGATTTTTAGGTGCTTTTTACGATTTCTAGCCTGCAGTCTTGTGTCCTAATACTGGGATAACAATGATATTCTGAACGAAATTTCTGAATTCGGGAGGACATTGTCAGATCAGCTAAGGGTGTGATCGATATGGTATATTCAGATGTCTATCCGGAGATAGATGGGTATAATAAAGAACGCCTTTCTTACATTTATGGCATTCTTTCAGCATGCCATTCATATCTGAAGAGGACAAATGAGATAGAATTGAGATACCCAGAGCATGTGCATACCCATAAGCTTGAACCATTTCAGTATTATAAGGTACTTGAGGAAGAGTGCAAGAAAGTCTGCTTCATTGATGGCTTGAACTATAAAAACATTGCTGGACTGGATAATCTGAACTTTGAGCATTTCAATGAAGAAGTATGCAAGAATATCCATGCCTCTACCGTCACTACTCTAGCTGATATGGTACAATCTCTTGTGAGTATGTATGTTGATGTACTGGCCAAGGGACTCATATCACAACAAGGTGTTTACAAGCACTATGTTTTGGGGTTGCTGGCATCATTAGAAGGCCGCAGTGAAGCACAATCGAACTGCACAGATTATGAAAAGTTGCAGGCTGCCCTATGCGAAGTTGAGTTGAACTATGATAGTTGCAGGGAGTACATCCAAGCTCTTCCAACCACAGATATTTCATATATTGTAGGAAGGTATTGCACCCTCTGCTTTCCATCTAACTTAGCACGAAGCCATCCACAGGAACCTTCGTGGAGGAAACCTCTTGCAACACTACTAGCATTTTGGTCTAAACTTGTTGATGACGTACCGGGGGATTCAATTGATGCTTGCTCATATGAAAGAACAGACTACTTAAATTCAAATAGGTTATCTCTGTGCATAGGGAGCTTTCAGGCAGCTATTGATAAATGATGAGATAGCACTGCACCAAGGTTGGGATGCACCATCTCCATGTATGTAAAGACTGCCTTAGAAGTGGAATGATGATGGAAACATCATGTTTTTGTAGAGCTATGATTCTATCAGGCTGCAGTTTTGAATCTGTAGTTGAAGTATACTATGGAGGACCAAGGACAATTAGGGAGTGAGAATGCAGATTCAAGCAATTATTTGGATCTCTTAGAACTTTATAATGCTGCTACAGAAGAGTGTTTGTCTGATTTGATGAGGAATCTTGCGAATATCGTATTATTGCTTCATCATTTGCTGTCGTCTTTGAGCCGGTCAACGGAAACATGCTGGTACTCTAGACATGGTCAGATCTGGTGTTTGGGGGAAGTTAATCCGCTTTTCAGAAGACATGCAGCTAGAGAGCCAATTTACTTAGTCTATGCACTACTAGCTGATGCAATGTATCACAAGGAAACCTTAAAACTCTTCAAATGAGATGGTGTGCAGGTTGAGCCATGGGAATCATGGTATGAGCATGGAGCAGGTGCTGCCATGGCTGATGAGAGTATCAACCTCTAGCAGCATCACAGGACTCTTGTGGCACTTAGATCTACTCAGATGGTCACTGCAGTTCTGCCTGATGCTAATATCACTCCAGAAACCCTAGCAACTCTTGGCTCTGCAGTATCTTGTTTTTTCAAAATTGTCAGAACATGCTTCTGCTGCTAACTGCGTTGCTGTTTTGGAAGCAGTGTTAGAAGAGTGGGAGCAAATTGTTCTCCCAAAAGAAGAGCATGTTGCGCCTCATGAATCACCAAAAGAAACAAGTGACTGGAGTGATGGATGGATGATGGCTGGGAGGTTTTACTGGAAGAGCTAGAGAGTCCAAAGAATAAACAAGATGGTGTAATGTTATCTGTCCATCCCTCCACAG